CCTCAGTAGCACCACAGACCTCAGGGGGCTGCGTGCAAACCCTCGATAAGGAGCCCTCCCTCATGCCTCATTAGAGGATCAGGCATGAAATGGCTCCTCTTTCCCTGTGGACTTTTAAAAAGGTGTTTGGGAGGGGGTGTATTGTTTTCTGAGACAGTGGAGCACGGCACCGCTGTGAATCACTTTGAAATCAAAGAAACTGGATCCTGAGTCATTGAAACCTTCATGATGTGTGGCCCTTGAACCCACTGTTCGGATGGTGATTTTGAAGGCACAATAATTCTGTGCATTGCAGGAATAGATAAAGGAAGGAAGGTGTTCATTTGCATTGGTTTTTGCTTTTGTGTTTGTACAACTGAATATCCTTTTATAACAAATAAAATGGTAAGCAGAAATGCAGATTATAAGCATATTCAAAGTGAAGATTATGAGTAAATCTACCAGTGAAAATGCTTTTTTGCATTTTGTAATTTTTTTTTTTCTTTTTGTCTGTGTGTGTAAAACCTGACGATGTTCTCCAGTTTGATTTAAGAACAATCCATAGAGCATCTTGTACTTCAGCGGAAACAAGTGTGCAAAGTAGTTTACATGTTCAATGTCACAATTTAAATTTGCTTAATACTAAGCTAAAATATGTATTTAGATATGGTGTAATGGTTGCAACAGTATTAGATCTTCTGGAAGGCTCTTCTGCTTGAAAACCACTGACACTGAATGCTGGATCCCCTTAAAACAAGTATCCCAGTGTTAGGAGACTATTTAGAATAAGCCCTGTGAAGGATTAGGGCATTTTGCAGTACATTCTAAAGTTGTAAGAAGCCAATAAGGCCATAATGCATGTTCTCTTTCAGGTGTTAATTAGCACCCATGCTGCTGTGTTTGAAAACATTTTTAGTCTAGCAAGAACTTTTTATATTTATTATTTTTATGGAAGATGACACAGAACAGTACTGTGTACAGTGTCTGTAGTCTGCCACTGACACTATGGAAGCCTGTTTCATCTCCGTTATATATCTCAGATTTTGAATTTGTCATAATTGTGACTTTATAACTCAAAGTTGTGACTTTGATTTGCCAGTTTATATATCAAAATGTGTCATTATATCTCTTAATTTGACTTTGTAGTTTATCATTTTTTGTGTGAAATAAAATTGATGTGAAATTTTGGACCGACTGATGTAAAAGTGTATATTTTGAATAATGTTTCAACTAAAACAACATTGGATGTAAAAAAAAACAACACTGAGAGATTTTGCAAAATATCTTCTTTTGTGTTCCACAGAAGTAAGTCATACAGGTTTTAAACAACTTATGGGTGTGTAAATAATGACAGAATGTTCATATTCTGGTGAACTATCTATATCTTATGCTTCTGTTTTAGTGACAAAAGTAAGCTGGCCTTGACCAGAAATGGACCTCCAGCTTAATCATAGGATGATGTATCTGAAGCTCAGCTGGAGATCTTTTGATAGAAGGTGACCAGAATATTATCTGCTTCTTATCTTTTTTTGCCACAGGCTAAAATCCACGGTTTCCCAGGAGCAGAGCAATCCAAATACTCTGGTTTTGTCTTTAATGGAGCCCTGTGGTGTTTTGCAGCAACCAAAGAAAAAAGAAATGTGAAGATATGAATTCCCTCTTCCATCTCAGTAGTTGCTTTTGAGAGTCCTTGCATATGTACTGCACTGAGAATAAAAGAGGGGAAAATAAAAGCTACATACATTTGCGATGGACATGTTGTCGTTATAGTTCAATATTCAGATTGTGAGCTAATGGAGAAGAGAAAGCAAATGAGAGGAAAAAGGAGATGGAGTTTTGTAACTGCTTGTTTTTGTCATGCCTTATTGAGTTCTGTACCAGAATGTTTTCCAATCTATTCTGCTTGTTTATTCTCATTGGTCTCTGGCTTTCCAGTCCACCTTCTTACCCATTATAAAGCTATGTGACTGAAATGAATTAGCATCATCATGAAGGGCATGTTAATGTCATGTCTCTGCTTAACATTCTACTTCCCAGTTAAAAATGTAGGTTAAAACATTTCAAATGCAACTTAGATTACACCTTTCTGTTACACAGCATTACTATAGTTTCTTCTTGCTGTGCACAGAATTTGATACGGTTTTACTGTGAATTTTATGTTGTATGCATGCAACATCCCATTGGAATGAGTATTTGCTGGATTCATGAATAAATGTATCTCAAATGCATTATGGGTCTTCAGAATTCAAAAGAAAATGTGCCGGTTGTGCACAAGTACAATTTAGCAAAATTATAACTTGCGTAAAATGCATAAAGATGTGTTTTAGACACTTCCGATGATCAAAATAATGACCGTTTTATATGTAAACATGCAATTTGAGTGACTCGTGTTCAGTTTTTAAGAATCTTGAAATGCTGTATTATTTGGCATCTTATCAGGTTTTGCATTATCACAATTATGTCTTTGTCTAAATCAACAAGTAAAGTGGGACACTCGAGTTTATTCTCAAAAATGGAAATTCTGTCATTTACCCACCCTCATGTTGTTCCAAACCAGTATGATTTTGTGTGAGGAACACAAAAAAGGAGTTTTTTTTTTAAATGCCTTTTCCATAAAATGAAATGCTGTGGGATTCAGTGTAGTTTGGTTTGTATGGGCAAACACATTTGTGTTCCTCTGAAGAAAGAAATTCCTACAGGTTTGGAACAACATGAGGGTTAAGTAGATCTTCAGCTATTTGAAATGGTTTTATGTGAGAAATTTGGTGTCATATCTTAAAAACAACTCCATTTCAAACTATCAGAAAATGTCCCACTTGACCTGTATTGATATGAAGCTAACTAACTATCTCTCTAATGTAATCCTATTGTCCTCTGTTCTGTCTTAGAGGTTTGAGGTCCATCAAGACCCGATGGTGAGCGTGGCCCACATGGTGCGAGCTGGCGGGGGTGCATGGATGGCCTTTTCAGAAGGTTCCTCTATACGCTTGTTCCATACGGAAACACTGGAGCACCTGCAGGAGATCAACATATCTACACCCTCGTCATTTTACAACCCCAGTGAGTATCTCTCCTTTGACCCTGTGAAAGGAGCCATTTGAGTACCAAAATTCTTTATGCTTTCACACGTGCTTGATCAGCGCTTGTTTCCGTCATTTCTTTTAACTGCACTTCTCGTGATAAAAAGGTAATGATTGAGAAGTTCTTGTTGGAATGGTTTCTGTAGGCTGGCTCTCCAGGGAACGACCGTGAATAAGTAGCTAACTTAAGACCCCGCAGAGCAGTAATGGAGCTGCGGGGTTACAGGCAGGAAAAGGCACAATGGCACACAGACAAAGCTTTCCGTTCGAAATGTTGCCATGGCAACACTCTTGTCATGACTTCAGCAGCCATGGCATGTTGGTAATGTGCCAACGCTTGGCCATTGTGCCTTTTCTTAGTGCAGCTGGTCTTTAATCCATCTGTTTTCTCTTTTTTTTTTTTTTTTACCTCTCTACACTCACCTTTAGCCATCTTTATTTCCCATGGGTCCTCTTAAATATCAGATTTGTCAAATTCTTTGTGCTATATCACTCCTTTTAGATGAAATAAATATAAGCCAAAGCCATGGTTTTCGCTACCTTTTTGCAGAAGGGAGCGTGTGTAAACATTCATTATATAAGCAAGGACATTGAAAATAATAGTTTAACGGGGTCATGAACTGCCTTTGTTTTTTATTTTGGACTGTTCTCTGAGGTCCACTTATAATATTATCAAGATTTTTACATCAAAATGCGTCATAATTTAGAAGTAATATGCTATTTTCTGTCCTGTTTTGACCCTCTCATCGGAACGGTCTGTTTGAATAAGTGTGGCGGATTGTAGACTCGGAAGTAAACGCACACTGCTATTATTGGCTAACAGTTGTGTACGTTTGACAGCCTACATCCTTCACAGATGGACGCTGCTGTGATTTAGGTTGAAAGCGCATAAATACTCAAACAAATCAAACGATCTGTAATAACAAAGTAATAGTGACCACATAATAAAAACAGTTACTCACACTTGTGTGGTGCGATCTTTCTGAAAGATTCTGCCTTGTTTGTAAATGAATCCATGGTAAAATGCAGTGAACAAAGGACCAAGTTCTTACTGATGCGGTCTGAACTTCATTAAGAATAAGGACCATCCACTGATCGCTCTTTCCTAATGTTGGGAGCAGAAGGAAGGCGATGTAAAGACCGTGTTTTTCCACAGCGGTTTGGTTGTCTTCGGAGCCATCTTTATTGTTTGATTTCTGTGCAGACCTGCGTTTGCCTCTCGTTATTTAGACTACATGCTTGAATCAGTGGGCGGGGCTAAGCAGGCAGTGATGTAGAGCAGGCGTTGATCTTCTTCTGCGGAGGCGGTGTTTAGCCACACTATTACGTCATAAAGTGACACATTCCACAAGCTGTCATTTTGGCAGACTGGCTTCAATATAAGCTGTTTTTAGACTAACAAGAAAGTTTTGAGTTTAGAAACTTACAGGATGTTTTTATGGTACAATGACCTCTTACATGTCAAGGGATTTTTTGATTTCTCAGTCCATGACCCCTTTAAGTATCCACACAGCAAATTGTCGCTTCAGTGCAATTCAGCGCCACACATCAGACCATATAAAGAGAAAATCTTGGCGGCATCGCTCCAGTAGCTCGCAGAATCACTCTTTTCAGACTGTCTAATAATGTTTGATTTCACTTGAATGCGATTGTCCACTTTTAGCTAAAAAAACCCCTATGATTCTCCAGTCACAGACAATTGCGATCAAGTGGAATAGAAAGCAGAAGGAGAAAAATAAACCCAAAGTGGTGTAACAAACTTCAGGAACTGGCCAGAGCAAGTTAATGTCAACTGGCCTGTTGCTACAGCTGGGTCTCATTAAAAACAAAGAGAAGAAAGATATACCTTAGTTATTTTTTTTTTGTCAAACAGCGAGAACATCAAACCTTTGGATCAAAGTTACAGCTGTATTTCACAAGACATGTGAAGGAGAAAAGGAGAGCATTGTGGCAAAGATGTCTGCGAAGGTCCTGCGACCCCGAGGCTGTTGTCGAACTTTCACAGCTAGCTGTGTTTAAATATGTAGTTCATGTTGGGTGAGGTAACACTGCGATTTCATGTTATGTCAGGGGGTTTACAGTCAACGGAGCACAAAAGTGAAAATAAGCTTTGGCAGATGCCTTCTTCCCCATCTTCCAAAGCCTATATGCTAATCTGTACACATCACGCATAGGAGGACTGATATAGTTATTACAGATCAATGGTCTGCTAATCCCACAGGTTTGCATCCAAGTGATGGGTGATGAATTAATTATTGTCTTACAGTGAACCGATTATTCTGCAGTTTCTCCTCAACTAGAACCTTCAGACAAGATAAGCAAGCCAGACATCAGATCCATAGGGGAAGTTGATATTACATCAAAGATAAACTTTGAAATATATTATTATATTATATTATATTAAACTCCTGCCCTTAATGTCGTATAGTAGTTAGCTGAAATTAAATAATTTTGTATAATAGTAATCAGTTTGAATGATCAAATCAGATGTCACCATCTAAAATTATTTTAAACTGCATTTCTTATATTATTAAGCATACAGCTTTTATTACCTCTTATTAATTGAAGGACTACATGAAAATATTTGAATCATTTTAAGAGTGAAGGAGAAAACTGAAAAGAAATCAAATGCATTGAAAAAAACTGTTATTACCAGTTACAGGACCAAAGACACACACACTGTCCTATATTTATATGGTAACACTTTGAACACTTTTGACAAAGTTTCAACTTTTTAACATTATTTAATGCATTCAATTAATTAATGTTAATTTAAAAATATATTATTGTTTGTTTATAATACACCACTAGTATTAATTTATACAACTTTGTGTTAAAATGTGTGAACATATGTAGAAAAATTATGTGAATTTATTCTTTATTGGTATTTCATGTTAGCTCTTGAACTAACAGATTGAACCTTATATACTAATACTTAATACTTTTTAACCTAAAATCTTGATAGTTATAATGGAGAAAGAATCCAAGTACACATTGTGTGTCAACTACAAGGAGATCTAATAAAATATGCAAGATGCATTTTTTTTCCCCAAACCTCAGCATCTTATGTTTTCAGCATTCATGAATTCATATGCATTACTGCAGAACTGCAGATTTATTTGACAATCTATTATTAAGGTGATCCCTCTTGCACAGAAAAAGAATGTATAATAGGTGAATGCTCTGCAGAACTGGACAGCTGACATTTCTAAGAAGGAATTCTGCCTAATGCAGTGCATTCGCTAATGTTTTTTTCATGACCTTCACTGATTTCGTGGTGACTAACTACCAAACTGAAAATGCTTCATTTGCAAAAGTCTCCCCAAGTACTGTAGCAACCTAAAGACAGCATGCCGTGAAAACAAATCAATTAGCCACTTACCTATCACTCATGCAAAGCAAGCTTTATAATACGAGCATGCGGCCACCATCCATACTTGCTGAACTCTCTGCTGTGCTGTTGTTCTTTGATTTCATT